CTGGAACTAGAACAGTCTACCCCAGTGAGCGAAATAAAGGGTTCAGTTCGACATTCCAACAACCTGAAGAAGGCCGGAGCGTGCAACGTCATCATTGTAATAAAGATGGCGACAAAGATGAGGACAATAGTCCGAATAATGTAAATAATATGTATATCCTTGTTTATAAATGCAGACGTTTACTTCTTTTCTTGCAGTCACGGGATATTATCGATGAATCCAACGCACAAACTACCCTCGACCGTTTCTGTCTGTGGTCAAACAACTTCTATGCGAAAAACAAAGAAAAAGAGAGTAATTATGACATTTCAATTTTCTTGACTAGAAGAAACATCGGACCAGCAGGTAATTTACTTACTGACGTTGCTGATATCACTTTTGTAACATTAATTTTCTGTCATATGCGCGCTTTTTTAGAGACCACATTATGAGAGAAAGTTGTAGAAGAAATCCTACAGTAGTAGGATCTTTATTTTTTTCTTCATTTTTTCTTCATTTCTTTTTTCTGTTAATTTCCTATTTTTCTTTCTTGTTTGATGTTTATTATTCTTTCACAATTGTAACCGGTATCTTGTGTTGCATAAAATAAATGATAGTTATTAATAATAGTATTCAACAATGAAGCATTTCCAGGATCAAAATTATGCTCCCTTTTGTTTCACCATTTTCTTGTTGTTATATTTGGGAAATAGAATAAAGTTCGTATCTGTGGCTACTGTTAACTGAAAATGCGGTGCCGTTATTGAACACAATGAACTGGATAACTTGAAGCAATAGACGTTTCAAGATAAAACAGGATGTCAGGAGTGAATACTGATTGAAAAAAAGAAAAGGATGGGTTATATTTTCTTTCAAGCTAACAATTTTTTTTAAATTTCGCAATCAATTAGAAATAATTCAGACTACCGAAGACGTCCGACTTTACTAAACCATGTTCAGAATGCTCCCAAAGGTTCCAGAGGTTTCGCGTAGCTTCGATTTGGAGGAGCAAATGAGTGAAACACAGCTTAATACCCTATTATATTGTATAGGCATGGAAGCAGAATAACTTTTCAAATTCCTTTCATTTAAAAAGAACGCTCCCAATTTCGTCTATGAGTGTCGATATACATGTTTTTTGAAGTTTATATAGAAAGAGATATTGAGAGAGTAAGCAACTTTAGATAAGTAAAACAACAAAAAGAGGACCTACACACCAGGTTAGTTGATGTTGTAAGGAATAAAAACCAAACTTTGAAATCGTCAATAAGAAAGAAATTCGCAGAGAGGTTGTAATAAACACTGCAATTTAAACAAGTAAATTGCTAAAGGTAAAATATGATGTAAATTCGGTAAAATGAACTATTTTGTCGTATGTTGCCATAAAAAAAATTAAGAAAACTGCGCGAAATTAAGACATACGACAGATCTACATTTCTTAGGGGCAGTATTCGAAGAGAAAATAAAAATAAAACGGAGACTTGGTACATAAAATTAAAAGTATGCGGGGCACGATTTACCTTTAAAATCGACACAGGAACATATATAACGTCATCAGCTACCTATAAAAAAAAAACTTTAAGAAAAACATATTTCAAAACTGGACAGAAATATCTAGAAAAGTCCAAATGGTACCTTGGGCTGTAACGGAAAATTTGCAATAAAAATAAAATGCCAAGACACACCGTATGTAATAGCTATTCATTAGACAGACAAAATGCAGAAAATCTTTTATCCAGGGACATAGATCACATGGGGATTATTATCATCATAGAAAAATAAAAAAAGATAGCAAAAGTAATACAGGAAGGGCGATCCCATAAAAAGAGAAGCAGAATATACGATGAAAGGAGACATTAAACAGGCGTTCATTATTCCAATCTATTTTAAATAGGAGATAAAATTGGGTAGAAAACAGATCAAGAAAAACATAGTAAATACGGTCACTGTCAAAACTACAGATAAGGAGAACAAAATAAAACAAGTTTTAAAGACTTTTGACGTAATAGAATACATTTTTTACATATCAGAAACGAATATTTTTCTTTTGGTAGATAAGAAGGCATCTACTTATATTGCGAGATATTGGTAGCGTTCAATTGGCAAAATTTCAGTTATTTTGTGAGCAGGGTTTGGAGTGTCTTAACAATCCGATCTTTGCTGATAAGTCTCATGACAGACGAAACTGGAATATGAAATGAAAAAACATGATCTCTCTGCTACCCTCATTGTCTTCTGATCAACTGTTGGATTCGCTTTTTCTCACCCTTCATGACACCTTGAACAGCATGTTTCCAGCTGCCAGAGTTGATGCCCGTAAGTTTAAGGTACATTTTGCAGACGTCCTTGAAATAGGGCAGCCTGTCGGATAGCGTCTTTTGGTATATGGCCATCATTCATTCGATGTACATGATCCAACTCGCAAACGACGATGACGAAAAAGATACATGGTCCAAGGGTATGATTTCTTATGTAAAGCAACGTTGCTAACTTTATCTTTCTGCATGTGATGCCAAGGATACGTTATAGGCAGCAGAGATGGAAGCTTTCCAAGCAGTTTTCCTGCCTGACGTACCTTGCCCAAATTTTTCTAAGGACACATACCTGAAATACTTTTACTTTGGTGCGCAAGGTCAGCTAACTACTGTCCCATACTCAATTTGGCAATCACTGCAGCTGCTTTGGCGATGCGTTTGTCAATTTCCAGGTTAAATGATAGATTGTTGCTGAGGGTAGAGTTGAGATATATGAATTAATCTGTGAGTTCAAGCACCACCTCGTGCTTCTTGTGTGTAAGTATCCACCTTCTTCGGATTGTCTGTGCGCAAAACTTAGTAACATGGAAAAGAAGATGTCAAACAATATCGATGCTAAAAAGCATCCTTGTTTTACGTTGCTAGAAATTGTGAAGGGTACTGAAATGTCACTATTATAACTGACTACACCCTGTATGTTCTCGTGGAGATGAGCAAGTGTGGGAAACAGCTAATTTTCATTAGTAACTGAAACAGATGTCTCCAGCTAATAAGGCCGAACGCCTTTGAGAGATCAATGAAGGCGTTGTATCGTGGCATTTGTTGTTCACGATATTTCATCTTGAGCTGAAATAGAGAGATCATGTCAACTGTGAATCCCTTCACACTGGGATTTTGGCTAGATGCGATCAGCAAGGACTTGGAGTCGAGTTAAAACCACTCGAGCAAAGACCTTTTCACCACTGCCTAACACGGGTAGTTATTACTAATGAAAATATTGTTTATAAGGTAAAGTAAACCTTTGAAAAAATGATGTCACTCTTTTATAATTGTGTTGCATATAAATGATAGTTATTAATGATAATGAAGCGTTTTCTGTGTCAAATTTCAGGACCTTTTGTTTTATTATTTTTTCTCATTGTTATATTTAGAGTTGGAACCACATAGATGTATTTGTTTTTATGCCTAACTGAAAATTATGTCTCGTTGTTGAAATTCACTGAACTAGATAAGTTGAAGCAACATACATTTCTTATTTCATGACAAAGGTAACATAAATGGCATGTCAAGAATTATCATAATGAGTAATGAGAAAGCACATCTATCTATCTATCTATCTATCTATCTATCTATCTATCTATCTATCTATCTATCTATCTATCTATCTTCTAAATTACACAAACTGTGTGTGTGAGGAGAGACATTTAATTAAAATGTCGCATACTCTATTCTATGTGTAAATCGTCACGCATCAGTAAAAAATACTTGAAATTTTTTTCATGGATGTTCATGACTTATTGGTTACTAGAAATATAAATATTTTTGTAAACCATTGATGAATAGCATATAATATTCAATTACACAGAAAGGCCGTTCTGTTTTTGTTGTCAGTATTCGGAATGTTTACTTTTGACTAACTTATTTATTGACTATAACATTAAAGATGAAAGTAAATTAGCAATATTATGCTATTTTATTCCAAGAAAGATAAAAATGGGTCTAAAATATATTATTACAGCTTGGGTAATAAAATCTTACTCATCTGTCGCAATTTACCTTCATTTATTCCATTTCTTTTATTCCATTTTTTTTCAATTTTGTATAACTTAAGAAACCGTGGGTCAAAAGAGATGAGCATATCAAATGATTTGAACATGTATTGCTTCCGATTAGATAAACTGAAGACAGCAATTAATGTAATTAAAACTAGTTCGAAGAAAATGTGTAATCTGATGGCCAGAAATTTTTTACAGCTTCCCTTGGAAGTTTTTGTTATATTCATTTGGATTTATTCCGGTTTTAATGGAAGATATCAAAAGTTATCCAGAGCAGTAAAGATAAAACGCAGTATGATCATGAAATTATAAAGTTGCCTGGAAGATAGAAAAAGTGAGTGGAAGAAACTCAATTGTTTTATAAAATGAATGTCAGCAACAGTGCGTGTATGCGTGTGTGTGTTTGTGTGTTCGTGTGTGCGTGCGCTTTCCTTCCCCAACTTTTTCTTTTAGAAAAGATGATAAATTGTTGAGGTCTTTTCATACATTACTCATCATGCCAAACAGATACACAGAATCACACTACAAAATATATTCCTTGTAAATATTTCGTTTGAAAATATTTGGCTATTTCCAATAGGGCATGTGTAAACAGTGTATCATTAATTCCACTATGTTTTCATAATACATGGTAGGCGTTGTAAGACATTGTTATGCAGCAAGATGGGAGATATGTATAAGTTTATAAAGTGAAAAAAATTAATAAAAATAACAAAAAAATTTTCATTTTTCTTTATTTTCACTGTTAATTTCATAGTTGGGAATTAATAATCGAAAATTGACAGCTTCAAATCCCGTTCATTGTATGGAGAGACAAGGGAAATTATCCCTGCTTAATTTGGTCTGAAGGATTTGAAGTCATCATAGTAGGATAAGTGGTGTATTTTGAATAGAATAAGGGGAAATAACTTATATAACTTTTTTTTTTCTAATTACTTTTGAAAAATATATTATCCACGACATAAAAAACGTATCACCAACAACAGTGAACCTGGAAATTGATCTCCTTCAAAAGCAACTAATCCTAGTTTATTGTGATAAAATCGCGGCACAATCGTCAATATTATCATAACTATTTAAAATTTAGTTTTAGCTGGTTCGTAAATGAGGATCAGTTTTTCCTCGTTTGTATTGTTTGTAACGAAAAAATGTCAAATGAAGACGTGATAACGTTTAAAAAGATATTTGACAACTAAATTATCATTTCTTAAACGAAAGGATATGGACTATCTTTTTAAGAATGTTAGAACAGCAATGGATGAAAAGAAACTAATTTTAAAAAAATAGTTAACTGGTTTTCGAGTTCGCGTTTTTATACATCATATAGGATATTTTCAAGTATCGAGTAGTTACGTATCACTTTTTGATGTCCTGCTCTTATAAATAAATTCTTATTCCGAAATTGAAGGGAATTTTATTAATGATGGGCTGTTTGTTTTTAAAAACTCATCAAAGAAGCACAATACAAACCTATAGACACAACCTTATCAATTCACAAATCATCAATAATGGCTTATGAAACCCGAAAGCACTCTGAAGACTGGGAACAAAATATGACCAGATGATCCCCAGAAATCAGAAAAACAAAAACAACAAAAAACTTAAATATGAAACTTAAACAAAAAGCTTTCGTAAGCCTGCAACTAAACGCCCCACTCTTTCTATCTCTCTCTCTCTATATATATCTCACGCATGCACACATGTATGTATGTAAGTTTAGAGTTCTAATTTTAATTAATTTTGAAATGTAAATATATTTCAACAAATATTACTGTTTTTAAATAATATCAATATAAATTTCATGTCGCAGAAATTGTACGCCTTTAAAATGTATACAAAGTAGTTTCGTCCAATTAGTGACGACGCCTACGCATTACTTAGAAATTAGATCACTTTTCTTTGAAAAGGGTCTAGCCTTATTTGGGTAATCATGTGACCTAAGTAGTATTTAAACTAAAGAACGCGAATTTTGAGTTAGTGGCATCAGAAGCTTGCACCAGTGAAACTAGAAGCTTCCAACAGTGAAACCAAAACTCTTCGTGAGAATTGTAGCCAAAGACAGTGGAGTTGAATAAACCTTTCTTGAATACTGAATCAGAAAATTTAACACCCACTACAAAAAGAAGCTGCATCAACTATTGTGAAAATTTACATTTACTCACTTAAATTCAGATAACAACCTTTCCAACAAAATACTGAAACGTTTCACAAGGAAAAATATTCCATTACAATAACAAATTTATAATATTACAAGTTCACATACAGACTTTAATCATTGTTGAATTCAATCTTTCTTGAATTTATTAAATAAATAAATTAATTTTAAATTCTGTTTCTTCTCTACGAGCAATCACAAAGGCAGATATCTTCGTTCAATTATAAAAATATCATTGCAAACTATTTACTGATTTGTTGTATAAGAACAGTATTTGAATTTAAAACTGACTTATAAGAAAAAGAACAAATCGAAAATATCCAAAATTATATGACTGAAACGTTTCAAACCAGAAGACAGTTACTGAAATAATTCACTGTCGTAAAAACATTTTTGAACGAAACAAAAATAGTGAACTTTTTTCTGTCAGCAAACAACAAAAGAGGAAAAACACAAAAGCTTTTCAAAAGATACTTTCTTTGAATATTTTATTTCAGCACAACCTAATTGTACATTTCTCTATATAAATCCAAATATTTCCATTTTCACATATGAACGAAGTCTTTTTGTAATTTTCATCAAATGTTGTTACTGCCCTTGTGCTAGGCGGAAAGCAAATTAAAAAGTTTGTAGACGTTTTCTTCACGCAAATTGATCAACTATTATTAACTATATTAACTAAATCCTTCTGATAATTCTTTGAATTATCACCCATAACTCTGCAACATATGTATTTAGGGAGGGAGGTATAATTTTCCACTAAGATTATTGTTGTATTTATTTTTCAGGCTACGCACCAGTCACCGGAATGTGCCGACCGCATCGAAGTTGCTCAATCAACAGAGATGATGGCCTTACATCTGGCTTCATCGTAGCACACGAAGCTGCTCATGTGTGAGTAAAACAGCCTGAATCCTATAATAAACTAGTGTTCTTTATTGCACTGATAATATTCATGCACTTAAGAGCATGCACACTTCTGTCAGACGCCGCATGCATAGATAGTTATTTGTGTCTATAAATGTATGAATACACCATAATTTTATCCAAGTAAATACTCAGTTTGCAATAAAAGCTACAAAATTGCTTTACAATAATGGTATTCATGGGAATTGTGGGATTTACAAAGAATCTGAATCCTTACGTTATTCGAATCAGATAATGTAAATATTGGGAATTTCACTTTCAGTGGTGTCTTGCGTAGTCATATAACAGAAGACCTGATCTTTCAATGATGGTGCTGTAGAAATTTTCCTTAGCATTTTTCCTCTTCCTCCTTCTTCTTTTTTCTTCTTCTTCTTCTGGGTTATGCGTGATCATGGCTCCTCACAACTTCCTGTCCTTTGAAACTCTTGGTAAGATTTTCCTTCTTTTTATCTCTCCTAATCCATGTTCTGCCAACCATTTATTGTGTAATTAGATATGTCATATAGGCTATTCGCTGTTTTCCTTTGTTCCTCTTACCTTTTAATACCTGCTAGTTTCAAATACTTCAAGCCCTCTTTCCTCATGATCTGCGCAATAAATTCAAATTGTTTCTTTCTGATGTATGTTGCGGAAACGAAGAGTGAGTAACCTGGATGGTAGAACTTGTCGTTGATGTTGTTTCTGCTGAAGAGGTTAATTTCTTCTTCACCTCAGCAAACGTAAATTCGAGGAAAAAGGAATACGTCATATTTTGGGTAAATAAATGTATTAGGTTGGTGCAAAAATAATTTCGTTTTCTAACATGTGTTACTATGTGAGAAAACAAATTAAATTTTCACCAACCTAATATAATTTATTTACATATATACAAAGTCAGCATACTACTCATTGCTGTTGTAAAAGGCGACAGAGTGGGAAAGGAAGAAAGAAAGAGAAAGAATGTTGGTCATGGCTGTCGGCTGATATTTTGTGAAGACGGTGGCGGAGAAGGATGAAAGTTGAAAGGTATCGCTTTCAGTCTCAGTCTGCGTGCGGCGTTCTTGACCAAACTCTGGATGTCGACATCTCAGCCGGGTCTCTCTTCCTCTGTCTTCTGCGACTTTGAATCAATGAATTTGTATCCGTCGTATCGGCTCCAAATCATAGTCTGTCTATTTTAGCGGGAGTTATTTCTACTGTTCAATGTATAAAGTTCATTTTATCATTTAATACCGAAAACATGCGTCGTTATCATTTAATACCGAAAACATGCGCAGAAATGCGTTTTAACATTCTGCCTTGGGTCGTCGAGCAGTCAACATCTGGTTTAGTGTAAGAGACAAGACAAGAGTCCCCTCTCCGCCCTTCTAGAAAATTCATCGGGTAAAAGCCGTATCATTTAATAATTAGTAATAAATGCATGTCTTGAAGTTTGTAGGAAATGTGACTTTTCTACCTGATCTGGTTTGAATTGTCGGTGTATTTTTTTTTAGATTTGGGTGTTTCTTGTACATAAGGAGAATGTATGTGTGGTTGATTTTCTTTTTCTAAGACAGCTGGTTTCAGTCTATCCATAGCGACTGTGTCTGTGTAAGACTTTGTATGGACCTTGATACTTTGCTGATAGTTTTTTTTTTTTACTGCATCTTCTCGTACGAAAACTTATTCGCGGGTATACAGAGTTGTTGATGTGTATGTGTGTTTGGTTGAATTTCAATTGCGACATCTTATTTTTTAATTCTTGTATGAAATACGATGTCGGGTTAGAGTTTACGTCATTTTCAAATACAATGCCCTGGTAATGATAATGGTGTACCGGAAATTATTTCAGCTGGTGTGCATCCAAGGTCTTCATTAATAATGTTCCTTATAGAGAGGAGTATAAGGGGGTAAATTATCAATCCAATTGATAGTTTTTTCTTTCATGGCTAGCGATGTCTTGAGTTGCCTGTGGAATCTTTCCACTAATCTATTAGCACATGGGTGGTATGCTGTGGCAAGTTGCTGAATTCCTGAATATTTTGTTGTCCCTTAATATAACGAATGTATGTTGCGTACTCTGAAATAAAATCTAAATATATAATTTCTCTAGGGGTGTATTTGTCTGCACTACAGTTCATGGCTTGTGATCTGTGTATATCTACCTTCGAGTATGTGTCTAAACTGTTTAATTGCTAAATATATAGCCAACAATTCTTTAGAAAAGGTGCTATAACTTGTTTGTGTCTTGGTTAATTTTGCTGAGGAGAAGGAAATAGGTTTTCTTACTAAATCGATTTCCTGTTCAATTACAGCTCCTATTGCTGTGTTGGATGCGCCCTTAGCGAGGAAGATGAGTGCATTTTCGTCGTTGCTGATATGTGAGAGTTTAGTAAAGTTTGTAAGTGCTGATTTGGCTATATTGAGAAGGCATGAAGTGCATCCTGTTGTAGAGTAATGTTCTTGTTTTTTCTCTAATAGATTAATCAAAGGCAGAAGTATAGTTGATAGATTAGGGGTGAAACGGCGATAATAAATTATCAGTCCGATAAATCTTCGTAACTGTCGAATGAAAGTAGGTACAGGAAAATTTTCAATTGCTTCCACTGTACCGGGTAAGGGCGAAATCCCATGTTGGTCTATCATGTGTGCAAGAAATTTTACCTTGAGTTGTGCCGAAAATACACTTATCTAAGTTTACTTTAGAGGCCAAATTGGAATAGTTTCTGAAAGACTTGATGTAAGTGGTCTTTGTGTCCGGTAGTACTGTGGCTAGTAATGAGGATATCATCAGTGTAAGCGTATACAAATGGTAATCCTCTGAGGACTTGGTCGATTTGCCTTTGAAACGTTTGAGCAGTATTCCAAGGACCAAATGGCATTCGGACAAATTCGTATAGCACAAACGGAGTTGTCACGACGGATATAAATTCATTGATTTTGGGAATATCTTCTTCCGCTACCGGGATCGGGAAATAAGCTTTCGCTAGATCGATCTAGGAGAATATGCATGATCCGCGTAACCCTAGTGCGAAATCGGATATATACGGGACAGGATAATTATCAGTGACCGTAGATGCATTTAATTTACGAAAGTCTACATAAGGTCGAAATCCTTTATTATCCGCTGTTGGACCGAAGTGTAGGGGTGATGCATAAGGGCTTTCAAATGGGCGAATTATCCCTTCCCGTAGCATTTGTTAAATTCGTTTTTGGCGAATTGATATTTGTGTCGGTGTAGCTGTTGTGGACGTGAAAATACTGACTGTCCAGTAGTCTTTATTCTGTGTTTTGTGTCATGCTTGATGTTATCCACATTTTTGAAGCGTGTTGTAATTTCCTTAAATTTGTCCAAGATATCAAGGAATTCTGTACTATAGCAGGTTGTTATACTGATGCCAGTAGAATTGTATTGTGTGCGGATTCTTGTAATACGGATATTGGTTTCAGTGTCCAAAAGGAGTCTGTGTGTCATATTTACCGACAAGTTGAAATGAGCCAAAAAATCCGCTGCGAGAATAGGTATTTGCACATCAACTTGTAGAAAGTTCCACGTAAAATCTCGGCGCATGCCAATATTTAGCGTTAGATCTTTGGTACCGTAGGTATCGATGCGCGTACCATTTGCAGATTGTAGTCTGAAGAGACGAGGATTGGGTTTGCGTCCAGGTGCTAATGGGATGACACTGTCACTCCAGTATCCACGAGAAATTTGTAGCCGTTATTTTGGTTAACTACGTAAAATAAGCGACTTTCTTTGTGTGTACCGGCCGGGGTAGTTGCGTTCACTTGCCAGTTTGCTCGTTTCCCTGGTGTCTGACGGCAAGGTGTGGTGCTTTTCCTTAATTCTTCATCAAACATCAGCAAATTCCACTGGGATGAGTATCCGTTCGTCTGCGACTAAGTCTTCTTCAGTGTGGGGTAGGATCAGGTCCACGTGAGGTACTTCTGTACTTCAGTTGTTGGTTTAGAAGCAGTTGCATTTGTTTTTGCAAATCTGCGAGTGCTTTGTCAATATGCGCGTGTTTAGCACTGCAGTCGTTTACTTGTTTAGAAGTCAGTGCATTAAGTCTTTGATCGAACGACGCAAAACTTTTGTCGGCGATATCTGCCAATTTTCCCAGTGCTGTATCGTCTGTCATGGGCGTTAGTATTTGTACCATAGTGGTTGACAATTTGTCCAACCATAGACGACGCAGGATGGACTCCGACATATTCCCTCTGAGATGACTTTTAATGATGGCTGCTTTAAGGATGTTGTAAGGGTCAGTGTCAGGAACATCTTCCAATACGTCGGCAACTTCGTCGACAACGTCAGGAGGCAAGGCTTGGACAACACTAGCAAATTTTTATTTCTGTGACCATATCCCTCTGGCAGCGAAAATGTTCTGGAAAGGAAGGAACTAATTCTTGGCGTTGGTGGCATTGTATGGTGGTAGGCGGAGGACTGAGAAATTAATCTCCAAAGGTGGTTCCAAAATATCTTCGTGTGAACTCATTATGTTGCTGCAGTTTCCACATATTTCCTGAAGAAGTTGCTATTGGTCGAAACGCCGGGGTTACCACTTGTTGCAGAAACAAAGAATGAGTAACCTGGAAGGAAAAACTTGTCGCTGTTGTTGTTTCTGCTGCAGAGGTTAATTTCTTCTTCACCTCAGCAAACGTAAATTCGAGGAAAAAGGAATACGTCATATTTTGGGTAAATAAATGTATTAGGTTGGTGCAAAAATAATTTCGTTTTCTAACATGTGTTACTATGTGAAAAACGAAATTATTTTTGCACCAACCTAATATAATTTATTTACATATATACAAAGTCAGCATACTACTCATTGCTGTTGTAAAAGGCGACAGAATGGGGAAGGAAGAAAGAAAGAGAAAGAATGTCGGCTGATATTTTGTGAAGACGGTGGCGGCGAAGGGTGAAAATTGAAAGGTATCGCTTTCAGTCTCAATCTGCGTGCGGCGTTCTTGACCAAACTCTGCGTATCGACATCTCAGCCAGATCTCTCTCTCTCTCTCTCCGTCTTCTGCGGCGTTGAATCAATAAATTTTTATATCCGTCGTATCGGCCCCAAATCACTGTCTTTTACGGCTGTTATTTCTACTGGTCAATATATAAAGTTCATTTTATCATTTAATACCGAAAACATGTATCGGGCCATGATGCGCGGAGACGAGTTTTCGCATTCTGCTTTGGGTCGTCGCACAGTCAACATCCGGTTTAGTGTAAGAGACACGATATGTACCACTTTTATTTCCATTTTCGCTAAAACTTCGTTGTTGCTCAGTTCATTCATAGCATCCTTCCGTAAAACCGCATTTCTATCGATTTTCTTCATCCGTGAGAAGATTGTCCAGCGTTCACTGTCAATTATAGACAAGTGATATTGCATAACAGTTCAGTAATCTTTTCTTTATTTCGAATATAATTTTCCTGTTTCTTAATACTTCGCTTAGCTTTTGCAAGTTATCTGTTATCGTTCCCGAGGTTTTTCTTCTGGCAAAAGAGACAAGGATATCTTCGATACAAATTTAATGTTGTGACGAGCAGAATAGAAAGCAGTTTGCAAAGAAATAAAGGTAAGGTAAAGGTACAACACTTCATTTAAAAATAAAATAATGCATAGACAAATAGATAACTTTAGTCCGACTTGGACTAAAGTTATCTACCCTATCACGTCATGTAACATGAAGAGTATCCTTCCCTTGACCAGTTAATTGTTTTTTCTAATATTTTTTTTACACAAAAGAAATAGATAAAAATGGAACGGAACGACTTGGAAACACATGTTTCTGAAACCCATGCCAGCTTAGGGATGCAGATCTTCAAGAACCACTTAAAGCTGAACAAGGGATTAGACGTTCAGAAAGAGCAAAAAGCACAACTGAAAAATATTGGACTTTAAAGGAAAAGAAATAACAAGGAAAGAAAGGAAATTCGTGACATTATATGCAAATTTCAAGTCAGAAATTTAATTCACAAGGTTTGAACAAGGAACACTGATCAAACACAATGAAGTTGAAGTTGTCTCTCCAAGTCCATTCCCAATGCATCATGATGGTTTGACAGACAACAGGATTGCTCAGGAGCCTTTAACTCCTCTCTGGGTGGAAAATAGGACTGATGTGAATTCAAACGAAAACTCGTTAGTTCATCCCTGATGATTACAAGACTCCCAGCACCTGAGATATTCGTGTTTGATAGAGGTTCACTTAAATTCTTTGAATGTGATACCTATTTTAAGGCTTTGATAGAGGTTAGCTGCACAAAGACCGCAGGCAAGAAAGGAAGGGGATCTGGCACCACAGGAAAGAAGTTCGACACCATATAAAATAAATCTAGCACCACAGGAAAGGAATCCATCACAGGAAAGAAGGCTAATTCTACGGATAAGAAGCTCAACGTTTCAGAAAAGAAGGTTGATGTCACGAGTAAGAAACCCGCTGCCACAGGATAAAAAAGCCTGACACTGCAGCTAAGAAGGCTGATACTGCAAGAAAGAACGTATATACTACTGCCAAGAAGCCAGAAGCTGTAACCAATGTCCGTTTCCTTGTCAGGAAGGCTCCTGAGAATAAGGCAGAACTTTAACCAAAAAGGCTATTGTTCCTGCCCAAACTGCCACACAAGGTGCAAAGAAACCAGATACGAAGTAGACTGGTTCATCTCATCTTGGGGGAGTGAGTCACTTTCATAGTAGGGAAAAGGTAACAGTAAAATCTTGTGCGCTGTTTAACCAGAATTCGAGAGTAGGTACAACTCACATCAATCTTCTTTTCTAAAGTGAGACAGAGCAGAGTTGGTATAAGTTTTGCTAAGCTTCAAAAATGGTGTTTACTACGTGACCGGTGCAGATTGAATTATGAGATTCCTATGAGTACTTAATCCTGTTGCACCAGTTCCAAGACAGCTACAGTATCTTTCGCTATTCCAATGCGTCTTCGGATTTTGGTGTCACATTTCCTGCTCTCTCTAAAACCCTTCATAGATATTTAAATTGATTTGGTTTCTCCAATTCGTAGTTCACCTCTTGGGCTGTTCCTTTTGCTGACAATTATACATTATGTCTTTAATAAGATACCTACCTATGAGCACCAATTAATTAGACGTTCGATTTAATTTGTAAAGCAACGAAATAAAAATAAAAATAAAATAGATTGAATTAAAAAGTGAATAAATTCAGAATAAACCACACTTTATGAAATTATTATAAAACAAAAGTATAAAAATCTTTTATGTATATTTAATAAAAAAGTATACAAATATATTAAGCATACTTATCATTTAAATATGCTTATCTTTTTGTATTTATACAATTTTCAGTTTTGGTCTTCAGCATGATGGACAAGGCAATCATTGTTATGGCAGCAAGTACCAAGGCAGTATCATGGCACCAATGGTGGAGTCAACATTCGACCGTTATTATTGGTCAGATTGCAGTGCAGCTCGTATGCGTCACTACGTATAGTGAGTATGTGATTATATTTTATTGTAAGGAATCTTTTATATACACATAAAGATATTTTTATATACACAAGATACTGTATTTTGCAACTAACTCTAAACCGTTGGTTACAGAAGAATTCATGAAACACATAACTAAATTTGATTCCCACTGGTTGCCCTATAGTTTTGATCTTGTTACAAATCTCATTAAGAAATGAGATTTATAATTTTTCCATTCATACCTATTAAGTTAATTTTTTTTTTCAAATCACTGAATTTATGCACTTATGTACAATTGTCTCCGTGCCGTAATTGCAATTAGCCACTCGCCGATGATAATATGTTTTTCTTTTTTATTACAAAAACTACCTCGGAATAAAAATTACTTCATCTTTGCTTAATTTTGAATTGGAGGTAAAATGTAAGGCAACATTTATTTAAAGTACAAAGCAAAATAGTGTCAATTCGAATTGACTCAATAAAATAATTACTGAAAAAAAACTCTTAATAGAATACACAGTATTGTATTAACAAAACATTAGCATTCGAATTCCCATTGAAATTTTGAGCACTGAAATGGTAAGATTTCAATATTTCAAAAATATATATGCAACAAATCAGATCTATACAGTTTAATTCCCTTAATTTTGCAGCCATCTTACTTGCCTCCGAAATAATCCCAAAAGAAGAGTGTGGCCTGTCTTGCCCACGCCTGTTGGTGTCAACTGGGACTTAGATGGTCAATGCAGACAGGAATTTGGTGAAGGATTTCGAGTTTGTGGCGCTGTAAGCATAAAATCCGCTCTGATATGTAGCAGTTTGTATATATATATATATCAGTTTGCATTTTACATTTCATATTTATGTTCTTGCAAAAATACTTTTGTGAATTTAATAATTTCAATTTTGCATCACATTAAAATAACTCTTATTTTTAGTTGTCTCATATTAAAAATTTCTTTTTATGTAATGATTTCTTTTATTTTACAGGTATGATTTTATGACTTAATTTTAAGAGGAAAATTTGTGTAACTCAAATCTTACAAGTTAGAAATACCTAGATGAAAATGTTCAAAAATATATTTATAAAATGAAACTAACCTTCGTTATTGTTATTATTATTATTATTATTATTATTATTATTATTATTATTATTATTATTATTCGATCTGCAAACACAGCATTTTTTTCTGTGGACATAACCTAATTACCAGCTATCCTCAAACCACTTGATTGAGGTGACACATTTTCATTGTGAATCGAAAAAGTTTCGGAGTATGCGAGCAGTCCCAAGGAGTGTAGTTCTCTGCAAATGTCCAGTTTTGACATTTACCACAATCTTCTCCAGACACTCCTGGAGTACCGTGTCCAGAGCAGCAAGGAAAATAGGGATAATTTCCACTTTCTCCATTGAGAACATTCTGCACACTTACTGTTTGAAATGTTTCCATTTTTATCTTTTTGTTCACGACTCTCTTGTCTTCGGATATGCAGTATATATGGTGATGCATGTTCTTTCTTTTTTATCTATCTCCACCACCACAATAATAATCCCTATGTTTTTGCGTAATACTTCATGGTCAAAATAGATCATGGCATCCCATAAAATCTTGCACTTTGTCTTCATCAATGACACCTGAAGTTTTTCTGTCACATTTCTGCCCTCTCCAGTTCACGCTTGCTGCATAATCCCCAATTTATCATTCTTGCAACATTTCTTTTCTATTTCCTTTTTCTGTGATGGGATTGGTTTGTGCATTCACTGACATGCCACACCTTTTCTCCTCTTTCAACTAACATTACACATTCTAATATATTTTCTGCAAATTTTGGTCCCGCAAAAAAGAAAAGAAAAATTCAGTGTCGCTTAGGGCAGTTAGAAAGCCAATCAATACCCGGTCCGAAAAGGCTAAATAAATCGGAGAAAAATAAAATTTACAAAAATGGCCAGTTTTCGGGCTAGCCACACATTGAGCAGGTTGAAACTGTTTTTTCTGTGATGGGATTGAACTCACAACCACAAATATCACCAAATTCACAAACTAATGATTTTATTCAATAGGCCTATATGGGTAAAAGCGTTGATTTGTGAATTTAGTGACACAGTGGTTATGAATTCAATCCCTGGGTCAGGCAATTTTCTACTTGGATTTGTGTTATTTTAAAGTCTAAATTTTACACTTTTTAATATATTTTCTGGAACTTTTGGTAAAGAATATTGTTCCATGTGCCTTAGGATAGTTTAGGAAGCCAACGCACTCCCAGTCCCAAGAAGCCAAGTAAAGAGAAGAAAAATGACCATTTTACCCTTAACTAAATTAGAACTTATAATCACAGTGGAATAGGCAACTCCACTATCAATCCCCAAAACATATCTTTATATATGGGTGAGATGAACATCATCAGCCGTGTGAAGGCAGTTAATTTAAGATAAGGCAAATTATGACATATATCCAAATGGATAGATTGGTAGAGCTCAATAGTCATCTTAATGGTCATCTATCTAAAAGATAGAAATCATATTATTAAACCAACCATTTTTACCTCATGGGAATGTCTAAAAATATAACGAAGAACAGCATCATCCGTTATGCGAGTTAATAAAGTACGTGTCCCTCGGTGACACATCAAGCAGAGGTCGAAAAATCTGCTACTGGAAAGGAAAAGTCTCGTCAGCCCCTCACCGATCAACATCAACTGAAAAATTGATTAAAAAATACAAATTCCTGTTAGGATCAGATGATTTCAGGGTGCACTTCCTTCTAGAAAAAATTTAGGAAAGCAGCCTTTATATTGTATGTATGAACGAAGTTCGTTGACTTGGTTATGACTCCGTTGCGTATTTGAGGTACAATTTATTTCGGACTGTCCACAAGGAGAAAAGACATATAAAGACTTTTCAAGAGGACCAAAAATAATTTGATAGATAATTAATTAAGAACTTTTTTGCCTTTATTTTTCTTACAGAAAAATAAAGCCATAAAAGTAAAGCTCCTTGAGAGCAAAATTAAATGTACTGCAAAGATGAATTCTGTATTTTCAAAAAATGTCTTGAGGTATCAGTTTCTTTTTAAAACGTCAAGAGGCAGATGGTATTTCTTTATTTAAGGAAAAGAGACGTATTTGTTCCGAGAGATGCATTAACGAAATTCGATAATTTTTAAACTTTGCAGAAATGGCGTTTCTTTAGAAAATGCTAGAATACTTTTTGGCTTATATTGTGTGATTGGTCGAGCGTTAATATTGCAGTGGATAATAATAAGCGAGAATTGAGCATTAAAGTTCTGAGAACAGAAGAGTGACCAGACAGATTTAGATAGTGTGGAATGATCGATTGAGAAGTAAAAATTATCAATTAAAACCCCGAGAGTTTCAATCTCATAAAAGTTGGAAACCATTTGAATCCGTGAAAATGACAACCTCTCGTCATTCCTCCGGACATACTACTGAGAAATAAACTGTAACTTAAGAATTTTCTATCCAGTTTATGTTGAGAAGAAATTGACCATCACTTTTGAGAGAATCACTCCCTGTATACAAAATACCAATTATCTTTTACTACTTCAAGGTCTTTATTCTTGTGAAGAATATTCCCTTAGAAGGTTAACCTACTGACAGTAGCAAAAAAGATACAGCACCACAACCGGGTTAGGGTTAATCCACAGTCACTGTGATACTTTTATTTTAGTAAATAAGTGTTTTCTCGTAATTGTGAAATAATCACTTTTATGTTTGTGACCACGTACACTGAGGTCGACAGACGTTCCGACCAATTCTACCAAATACATAACGTAGGTGGGGAGAACAGTCCAACTTGTGAAAATACTTTCCTTTAGAAATGTAATGAAAATCTATCTTAGCTGCGTGAAGTTATTCATAATAAATTATTTTTAACTGCTATAATTTTTGCTTATCCATCAGTATTTTTCTCCATTTCTTGCAATGTTTAATATACTGTATCTGAATCCATCCATGCAAACCGTACTAAGAATAACCGTGAAGACGTGAGGAAGAGTCTGGAACTTAAATAAATATTTATCTGATTTCGATATTTTCATGTTCATGCTTTCATTTCTTTTCTAGTTCCGTGAACAGGATCCTTGTTCACGTCTATGGTGCAGTCATCGCGATAATATCCATATGTGCAGAACAAAGAATGGTCCTCCACTTTCAGGCACCAAATGTGGTTTTGGCCAGGTACGTAAACTCGTCACATTTTTATAATACCATGATTATATTAAAATTCACTAGATAAATTAGAAAATGAAACATTATATCAAATATACAATGGTAATTTATATTAATTTGATTCGCAGAAAACAATTTTCAAACTTAAAACTTAGTTGTAAATGTTCATATATTATTCGCAACGTGTAAAATAACACCAAGCTACAAACAATGACACATTTCGGCTTTGACGTTGTTTATATGTAACATCGATTCAAAATGAACAACAAATGTAATTTAGAGGACGCTGGATATATTTTAGTATCCTGTATCATCTATAGCCCTGTACATACTGTACACATTTATACACACGCATGCATTAAAACACTTGCGAACGTAATTCCATTTGCATGTAAGTAGGTAGGTTTATATTTTATTCATTTGTATAATTAAAATCTACAAATATTCTATTACACAGCTAACATTTTTTTCATTCTCTTTGTTATTGATATATTTTAGTATATCGAGGAATGTGTCCACATTATATAAGAGATATTTTGGAATATATTTTGATATATACTTTATAATTTCCTTCCATTCCTAGTGGTGCCTGGATGGTGCATGTCAGTATAAAAGTAACCTGATTCCTATTGATGGTTCTTGGGGATCATGGGGAAGTTGGGGATCGTGTTCTGTAACTTGCAATATGGGAGCTCGTTTCCGTCAGCGAAAGTGTAATAACCCGAGGTAAGTGCTTTAATCTTAAAAAATAAAATAACATTTTTTATGCAAACATACCTAAAATAATAACCATATTTTTCAGAATGTAAAATGCCAAATCCTTCGATGCAAATCTTCCAGCAATTTTTCATAAAGTAGTAACAATTATTCAAAAGTATGTATATTATGGTAAGACATGATAGGAAAACATTGAAATTATATTAAATTATAATTTAGTGTATATTGATTTTTCATTGTTAGTAGATTCATCAAATCATATGTACCTAGACATTTGTTTTCAACATTCGTTGAAAGAAAGGATTTAATGTCAGTCAGAAATGTTTGTAACATAAAATAGTTTTGAAGCACATTAGAATTAACTTCTCATTTTGTCACTAACTTTATCATTTCATTTCATTTTTAGTAATATTTTCTATTGTATTAATTTAATGTTTTCGTCAGCCCTGCTTTTGGTGGAACTGATTGTGAAGGTAAACACGAAGAGTTCAAAATTTGTAAAAATATGGTAAGTATCAATATTTCCATTGCTCATAATAGAATTTTGTTGCATGTCTCTTATGCTCTCGCGCAACATCGCTATTTTCTCCCCTCATTATTTTGTGATGCCCTTCTCTTTATATCTGCTTTCTTCCTGAGATGACCTTCTGTTCTCTCAATGTCAAAAATAATACTGTATATTAATATATATAAATGACATTTTTGTCTGTTTATCTGAATCAAGTTATAGCCTAAACCCGTAAACCAATAATGATGAAATTTTATATAAATGTTAAAATGTTACTAGGCTAATTGGTTTTTATAAAAATCTATAATTGACCACACGGGCTCCTAGATCGCAGCTCTTCGCCGAGTCTTACGCGAAACACTGTTTACATGGGAGAAATTAAGATACAAATGTTATGAACTCATAAGTCTTATAAAGCTTAAAATTCCAGACAGATATGGACTTTTGTTCGATTTTTAAAATTTAGGGGACAATATCTGAACGAATCACAGGTTATTTTCTAAATAAAATCTTTAACACATAATTCAGCATAATCTTTCTCTAAGTACGATATCCATGGTGTGTTTACATTGCGAAAATATAATCGGGTCATACGCACACGGATCACTGTGTTTAGCATTTGATTTAATATGGAATTAATTCGTTTCAAATTTCACCTTGTGCATCATTAAATTCACCAGTTTCGAATTTATTAAATTCAAAGAAATTTGCTCGATCCCTTCAGTCATTTAAACTTAAAGTAACATTTAAATTGAGCTTATTTGCGAATAGAAACTTTACCTAAACTCATTTTTCAACCTTACCATTAAAAAGGCATATCGGGGTTGTGGTTATTGTCTGTAGAATAACAACATATTTGAAGGACACTTTCGTGCTATATACTGTCTGTATAAAAAATCTAACTGTGGAAGTAGTCATCCTTCTTAAAATTCCAAACATCCTTAACCTGCATGAGCCACGTGACCTTCCCCTTTATTTTTTTACTTTTGGTTACGGCGGTTTAATTAGACTATATCAATTCGAATCGCAACTGAAATAAAAATTTAATAAAGAATTTTTTTTTTTAACTTTTCACTCTATTCATTATCGAAATCTATCTATCTATGTAAATATAATGATATAAGAATATGATATAAATTTAAAGACAGAGTGTCATAAAGCAAATCTAGAATTTAAACTTCAACACATTAAACACCAGACAAAACCAGATCAAGGAAAAGAAAAACTTATTTGGTTTAACTCCCCTTTTAACTTAGAGGGGAAACGTAATATAGGTAAATTATGTTTAAAGTTGCTTTCTAAACACTTCCCCAAAAATTCAAAACTACTTAAGATATTCAATAAAAATACAGTCAAATTAAGCTACAGCTGCACAAGTAATTTAGATACAATAATAAAAAGACAAAATAACACACACCTCAAAACCAACGTGTAGCAAAATAATACTAACAATTTATGCAACTGTAGAAATAAAATTAGATGCCCATTAAATGGAGCTTATGAAACGGAATCTATTATTTATAAAGCAGAAGTAACAAATATAAATGGTCAAATTAAAACATATATAGGCTGCACGAAAGGCCCTTTCAAGCGTAGATGCTACAATCACACATCGATTTTTGTTGTGGATTCCGAGAGGAAATTCGGTCTCCAGTGAATGACAAACGCAGGAATTAAAGATAAGAAATTAAATGTATTTACACAATAATACAATGGGTAATACTGTAAGTCAATCCAGGAACGCGGTTAGTAGTAATAATAACATATATATATACAGTCTCGAAGTAGGACTTCCTTAGAGTCTACGTGCTTGTAACTGACTTCTACAAGCGATTACCTCACACTATTACTCTACCCCCAATTCAATCACAATCTCAGTCTCCCCCCCTCTCTCTCTCTCTTCTGACTGACTCTGGGTATTTAACGGCAGCAATCCAAGTAACACTTTGGTCGAGTCCACTTATATGAAAAAAGGGAGGAACCCATAACAATTTTTAAGTACTAAACCTTAGATACTCCACTAAACATGCCAGCCACATGTGGAATTTAAAAGAAAAAAATAACAGGGACCCGGTCGTAAGGAGAACATTTTTAAAAAGGTAAAAACATATAACAATTATAGCCGCAATTGCAAACTATGCCAACATGAGAAATTAGCAATTATGAAATTCCCGACCCAAAAAAATATTTTAAACCAAAAATCAGAAATTTTAAGCTCTTGCCCTCATATAAAACAAGTGAATATGAAGCCGGTTAAAATAATCTAAAATGATAAAAAAAACCAATGTTACCCTTTAGACACTCTGCCCCCATCCTCCATAGCAATTAAGTTACATATTTGATTTCTCTTTCACTGTATTCACCGAATTTGTGAGTAGCGGCGCTATATCGAGTCTATTCAATTTCTTCTTCGTCACCGAGGCCCGTTGGTACAGTAGGTATGACACATGTGTTGTATTGAAACGGTCCGTATTCGATTCTCGGTAGTAGATGCGCACTGCTGATGAGTCCCAAATAGAACGAAACGGACGTCCAGTGCTTTCTGCATTCTGTTGAAGATTTTTCTAGACTCGATGAATTATTATATTGATTATTCTAATTCCTCAAAATTCTACCACTTATATATATATATAGATAGATATAGATATATAGATATATAACTGGTTGAGAACCCTTGCCATTTTAGCCCCAAAGAATGTGGCAGTTGATGATTTGAACATCAAACTTTTCGAACAAATGAGCGTCGCAGCATTACTAAACGCTGATGAGTCTGGGAATTATTCAGTTGAATAGCCTAACAGCAGGAGACCTCCAACCTCATAATTTGTACCTCAAGATTAGAACACCAGTGATGCTACTAAGAAACCTGGATTCACCGACGTTTTGCAATGGCACGCGACTTACAGTTAATAAAATGATGACAACAGTCTTGGAGGCGATAATTCTGACTGGCAAAGGAAACGGTGTGGCTGTATTTATTCCTAAAATTCTACTTATTCCATCGGATATGCCTTTCCAGATCAAGCGGCTGCAATTACTGTTAAACTGAGTTTTGCAATCAGCATGAACAAAGCTCAGAGGTAGTCCTTGGATGTGGTAGACCTTGCAGGACCGATTTTCTCCCATTGCCAACTTTATGTGGGATGTTCAAGAGTCAGCAATTTCAATCATTTGTTTACTTATACTCTACACGGAAAAAGCAAATATGTTGTTTATCAAAAGCTCTGTAAGCACGAAACACACAGTCATCAGTTGTTTATAATTTTAACTGTACTATTTGCCAGTGTTGTAAATATTTTGTTAAACTATATGTTATTCTATTTATAAATCTATATATATATATAAAATCTATTCGCAGGTCTATTGTGAAACTATATATTTGTCTATTTGTACATCTATTGTAAATTTATTTTAACAATAGCCCTGCTAAGGGCTATATTCTCTGTGAACGCTACTTATTTTGAATTGTTACTTCCGGAAAACCGATTTGCCTGTTATTACGTAAGTTGCTTTACGATTTTGGTATTCATAACTTATTGATATTTCCTCCAAAAGTTGAGAGGGGTGGCGGTTGGGTATTCTAACGCACAAAAGCCCTTTTCAGTGCTACTTACATTGAACTGTTATATTCGGATAACCGAGGAAAGGATACGAGAACGGGAACTGGGGATAGCATACGCTGTTCTGGGACAAACAATATTTTTTTATTCTCTGGATAGAATAATTCAGAAGGCTTCTTATATCAAATCATTTTTCATATTAATTGCTTCGCTAATCTCTTACATTTTTGGTCCTTGTTAATGATAATATTAAACTCAGTTACCTCACACGACTGAACAATTAGGAGTAAATTTAGGGACAGAAATATACAACGAGACTCATATTGACACTCTCAAATGTTTGGATTAGGTGTATGAAAATATTTTCTGCGACTTTTTATTTTAAAAACTAGAGACTGAATACACAACTGAAAATCGGTTATTTGCTGAAAACCGTTCCTCCTCTCTCTTAGTACCAGTAGACTCCCATGGAGCCTCATTCCGCTAGTGTTGCTCCAGAGCTACCCGAGCAAGCAGGATTTTACAGTCTAGAATTGCCAGTTCCACCCATAAACGGTTTTTAATTCAGAGTTATTAATCTGCTAGACTGGGTGCCAACCAAGGTTAGAGGATCCATTCTGCCCTGCAATTGAACCATATGCTTTTTATTCGAAAGTGAACGCAACGAGCTTGGCATAGATTTGAACCAACATGCTGATCACACTTTTCTCACCGAGAAACACTAGGCGATGCTAGGAAATACGAAAATTCTTTCACACACACACACGTGTGTGTGTGTGTGTGTGTGTGTGTGTGTACACGCATTCGAAAGTACTACGGATTTTATATTTTTAGTAGAATTATAACGTTTCATTCATTTGTTATGTAAAATTATTTAAATTTGGTTTTGCTGCACTCTCTAACAGCAAAAATGGAAATGAGCATGAATGTATAATATTTTAAATAATTTAAAACATACATTTATTTAAAAATTGAGTATCTGCCATATACATTAAGATCGCACGTCATTAGTTAAAACTGAAATGGAAAAGAACCATAGTTCTGCATGAATATTTTATATTTTGCAGCCTTGTATTAACGATCCAGACATGCGAGCTGAGCAGTGTGCCAACTTTGATGGTTACGTGATAGGCCATAAAAGACATACATGGAAACCTATTCAATTCGATAATGGTAAATTGCTGCTTGTATTGATTTATATTTTGTGTGTTAAACTTCTTAAATCGTAAATTAAATCATCTCTCAAAATAAAAGCAGTATTTTTATCAACATACATATACATTTATTTTGTACAAAAATTTTGTTTGTATCACTGGCTAACATCGTATCAACAACTCCTGCAGTTAGAATGCTTAAACACCTAAAATTTGATGGAATAGCGTTTTTTGAATAGAGGTAGATTGGGATACACTATTATTTCAAATATTTGAAATCTTTGTTGCTTAATCAGTCGATACACAGTTTGAAATTCTTCAGGTATTTGTTTTTTTAGGCTGTTTAGAATTCGTTCACTATTTCCTTTTTCTTTTCTTCCTTACTTTTAGCTCTTCAGCAAGAATATGAGTAACAGGATCGATTAAGAACAAACGTTTAATCTGCCCGCTTGTTAATCCTGTTTTTTCTCCGAAGTACTGGTTTCCATTTGGTGTTTAAACTTACATTACATTTTATATAAACTCTGTGTTACAGATACTTTGCAGATTTTACATTACCATTTTGTTCTTTTGGTGTTCTAACGCTAGTGAAGAGGTTGCGTAATGTACTTTTACTCTTAAATGTTACTCTGATATATGTACTAAAAACATTATTTAGATTTTTTAAGCGACTTGCAGTTTAAGTGTTGATGATCTATTACGGAACATTATACAAACAAAAACCAGATCAAAATGTAAAAGTCAAGTCACTGAAGACGGTTAGATGATAAATCTTTTTAGATTTTTAGACTTGACTGAATTGCAAAAATTGATAATCATGCTAATTTGAAAATTCGATTTGAATTTATTTTTTTTTCTCAAGCGTGTCGCAAAACAGTCTTATAGCGATCAGTATATCTAAATTACGATAACTAGAAGAATAACTAGAAGAATATTCACGTAAATGATCTCGATAAAATATTAAAAAAACTTGAGTCATTTTAGAAAAAGTTAAATTTCGTTAATGTATGCCGGCAGTACATATATGCTATATTAATAAGTGAACAATAAATATTAGGAAATAAACTGGATACTAGCTTAAACATATAGAACATCTATAATAAATTTGATATCGCTTAAAGAGTTTCATGCCTTATATATATATATATATATATATATATATATATATATATATATATATATATATATATAATATAATCAAACCTAACTATCTATCGTTACCTTTATATTTTAGTCGGCCCACTTTTTTTGTACCTGGATTACGTCTACTGGCCTTCGCATTCGAGGAATTTAATAACGAAAATGTGCTCTCCAACTGAGTGCGAACCTGCGTAGCCTTGCAAAGGAAAATACCATCTGATGCAGCACGCTGAGGTTGAGCGACCTAAGCATGTCGGATCAGACGATGGTTTCATCTAAATATACTACGAGGTCCACAGTAACACTACCAAATGTTTGGATTAGGAGTGTACAAATGTTCTCAGCGATTTTCTTTTTAAAATTAGAGACTGAATACAGAATTGAAAATCTGTTATTCGCTTAAAACATTCACATTTATATTTATTAAGTTTCTCGAATGCGCAGGCCGGTAGATTTCTATTAAGGAAAAAAACAAAACAAAACAAAAAACAGGACGTTGACTCAAGAACATGTATTCATTAAAAAATAACGTTTATAATAATAATAATAATAATAATAATAATAATATACCACTTTCTTTTATACATATGGCATTGAATGCAATAGATAAGGAAAATGTTATAAATCTTTCATTAAATCATTCTAATTTTTTTACACTTTTCTTTTTGGAGGAGCTGTCCATAATGATTATTGTTCCAAACATTTTCGGTTAATTCGTTAGCCATTTTCAAGTGGTTTCTTTGTTTTTCAATTTTTTATTGTTTTGTATTATATAGAAGCACGTATCACTAATATATACGGCCCCACATGTCACATTTCAGGCTAATTTCTAACAGGCGTATTTGGTTTATAGTCAATGTATGCCTGATTTATTAAAAACATGTTAAAACCGCCCAAAAATACATAAATAGGCCGTTTTCTCTTATTTTAAACAAAAAAGTAATAATAAAAGATTGTAAACAAACTAAAATGTTAATAAAGAATTAAGCAGTAATACAAAACAGATACAAGTAAAAAAAACTCATCAACAATTTCTCTATAAATCAATTTTCTTTTGATCTTTGACTTTTTAAAAAACATTCTAGAATATTTTTTCGAACTTCATTCGATGAAAACTTTCGTTTATTGTTGTAAAATATATTCACAACAATTTTTGCTGAAAAGTGAATTCCTTTTTCAATGTGTTGTTCACAAGTAAAAATATATTTTGGAGAATAAGTTTCTAAAATTCTTTCATCAGACGCTCTTGTAGTGGATTCATTATGTTTTACAATAAATTTATTTGCATAGTCAAGCACAAACGAAATCTGCCATTTGGCTAGATAGAACCGTAAGACCTCCTCAAGAATCTGAATTGGGATTTACATCCAATACCTACAATACATTAAAAAAAATTAGAAAAGCATATTTTTGGCTGAATTTCATTCTCTTCTCAAAATAAATTTCTCTTCAAAAAGTTTCATACAGAGAAATGAATTTTTCGTAGGAAACCAATCCGTAGGAAACCGATTAACGAATTTTATCCATTTTTCTATGAGGTCGGATTTTCCAAAACAAAATGTTGATACTTTTTCACTGTTACTAAAACAGCCAAATGCATCACATTTGTTAACCATTTTTGTTAAACTAAATATCACAACAAACATTAATCTAATCTTTAAATGCAATGACTCTCAGGTAGAAAATTTTCCTAATAGCGATCATTTGCAAAACGGGCTTTATTACGTAACTGAAAATCATAAAAGCAAGATGACTCACAGACGTTTTTAATTCATAGATTACTAAAAACAAAGGTGTAAATATGTATTTTAGTGATGAAAACATGTCTAGGGAACTGAAAAATTTACGTAATTCTACGTCGTTCTCAGAATTCAATTTTTAAAGTTATCTCCCTTTTAGATTAGCAATTTTCTAAGCGGCTATTCACATTTTTGTTTGTTTACATTACATCGGCCTGTGAAAATTCAGCTTGTTATGTGACATGTGGGGCCGTATAATACTAGTTGGCCATGGAAGAAGTAGTAGTGATCCTAGGATGTAGAAGAGGAGTTATTTAGAATGATGACGTTTTTTAATGGGGACGGGCAATTGTTTCCGTGGGTGTCAGATGCCTTTTAACTGATATTACTTAAGTGGTTTGTCATCCTTAAGGAGATTATTGTGCATTATACCAATACAGATTATCGGTTTACGACATGAGGCGCAGTCTTGTAATAGGTAATTAAACTGATGTACTACATTGGTTGTGTTTAGTTTAGATTTGATATGCATGTTTTTATCTGTAATTATGAAGTTGGCAGTTTTTAATCTTATATATATATATATATATATATATATATATATATCAGGAGACTTCACGACTTGACTAAGATGGATTAAGACAAATGTGTTGTGTGTTCTTTTGTACATATTTTGAAAAGTGTGTCGTGGCGATAAATTTTCTGAACATTTTAAAGCATATAAAATTTACTAATGAATTCTATTTCTACAGGTACCAATCCCTGCAAGCTGACATGCATCTCAAAGGAAACCAGTGATATCTTGAAAACGGAAGCTGACGTTAAAGATGGAACTTTGTGCACATATGAAAACAGAATTAACATCTGCGTTCGAGGTATTTGCCAGGTAAGTAAAGCTATCTGCCTCAAGGTCAGAAAATGAGTAGTATGCAAATTTAGTCACCAAGATAGAGTTTAGCATAATTTGCAATTTCTTTAAATGACATCATCATCATCATTTTTTCTCACTTTCGAATGTGGAAGCCACATGCGTCCTCTCACAGAAGTGTCTATTGCTGACAATGTGTAGCAACATTGGATTTATGTAGGGCTTGTCGCTCCACCTTGCTTTCGATCAGTTCTGTGGCTTTTTCACTGTGTCAGTAACATGCTCATTACACGACGGAGAAGATGCGTTGTCCATAAATCTTTGGCATGCCGGATAGATTAAATTATGTCAATGACATTTAGCTGTTGTACTTTATGTCATGGAATGTAATATCGAGCATTATGCTTCTGTCTTCTGGATAACGCTGAACTTGAACATTGTTAATTGTCCATTCAAATCTTTTGGCAATGTTGTCACAAATCTGTTTGATATAGGTATTAGCTTATTGTCCTCTACTTGTGTAGACTCCCACAAGAGAACAATAACAATTTCGTTTTTAACTCTCCAGCAATACCCTGTAAATTAACTATACGCTCTTTGTTTATGTCTGACACTAGACAATCAACAATTAACACGGAGACCGATAACTTTTGCTGAGTGTTCAAGAAGGGTTTCTACTTGACTTATTAGACTGGAGAGTAGCATTAAATCACCTGCGTAATCCATATCTGTGAGTTTGTGGCAGGATATCTATTACTTCTTCGTGGATGTAATGTGAATCCATTTTCTATAATTGTGTCGACAGACTTCGAGTCAAAGGCTTTGAAGAAATCAACGAATAACAGAACAGTATGTAGATGAAGCTTTCACACTTTCAAAAAATATCTGCGAACAGTTAAAATTTGACAAGTAGTTGATCGTATTCTTCGAAAGCCATTTTAATAAATCTCTTCGGAGTGGGATATTTCTTCCGTTATTTTTTTAAGCGATCAGTAAACACTTCTATTATAGGACCTCCTTTGTGTTTTGTATTCCGCTGCAGTGTTGTCTTCACATAGAATTTTGGCGTTTTCAGCTTACGAATTGTAGTTTCTATTTTACACGTCAATATGTAAGCAGCATGTTAGTGACAGCGAGGTTCAAGCAGTCCTGCATTTTGTTGTCATGAATTATAATTTTTGTAGCGGTTTTTAAATGCAATCAGATAATTACGACCACCAACTGGTGTCATGCCTATGTTAAACTCATGCTGCTTTCTTTGAAAATCGACCAGCAAGCTTTAGTATTATTGGTTAGTTCTTTCGCCAAATGAAGCAGATCGAAAATCTTGTACTTAGTTCGAATGTCTCTAAGCAAAAGCAATAACAGAAGTCTTTAATAAAAAAAAGTACAGTCACGCATTTGTAACTATCAAAAAAGTAAACAAATTCCAATGTTTCAATAGTATCCAGTTTATCTCTATCATTTATGAGAATGCGCAATTTTAAATTTATTTCATTTTATTTTTATTTCTTTCAGGAACTGGGTTGTGATGGTGTTTTGGGCTCTAAAATAACTCAAGACAAATGTGGAACCTGTGGAGGAGATGATACAAATTGTAAAATTATTAATGGAACATTTTATGATTCCAAAGAAAGTGGTAAATGGAGAAATTTATTTATTTATAAACCTTAATCAATCAAATTGCTTCAGAGCAATATTTGCAAAGATAACATCTTGAATACGTTTAGCGCTCGTTAAAAGCAAACAACATATTTCAGAATTTTGTACAGATATTTTCAGAAGTAAAATAATTTCCTCAATTATCAGAGATAAGATTAAAGCTAGAAGAAATAAATTGGGAAAACTTAAGCCGCATTCTAAGAACAAATTAACAAATCAAACGCGTTTAAATTTATCCATAATTTTATTAAGATATAATCTACAATTTTTTCTTTTCTCATGTTATAAATACTTGCGTGATATTGACAGTACTTTTCATAAAAAATGAATCTTTCCACACTACTTTTTTATTTCGCAATTAAAAATTCAATAAATTAATGAATGTTTGCTAATAACAATTTTAATATCACTCATGTAGACGTTTTTAATAATATTTTTATATTTATTACCATACAAATGAAAGACATGCAGACGTCTCTAAAGAGTGCAAGTTCTTTAATGCAAAAATTTAGTGTCTATATTTTTCTAACATTTTGTTATGTAAAACTAGTGTAAAAATGTAAATCGCATTTAAAAGTATATCCTCAGTTGTAAAGTCATCGTATTAATTTTTTTTCTAAATGTTAACAATAATTCTTATGATTTCAGACCTCAACAAATACAGAAACATTCTTGTCCTTCCTAAAGGAGCCAGGCACATTTATATAAAAAATGAATCCCCAAGTGAACAGAAATTTCTTGGTAAGTAGTTACCTTTCAATCATTACAATGAACACTCATATATAATATTATAAAAATCCGATTCATATCGGCAGATGTGTTTGCTTTTTACAAAATAATTTTTATTATAATAAAAGAACTGAAAAGCAATAACAGAACAAATTTGAATGTTACAAATTGAATAATAAAGTAATTACCATTCCAATATGAAACCTCATCATCATCAGTCGACCGTAGTCGGGATAATCAGGCCAATGCGAATGACCCTTTCTTTAGCTGTATAGCAAGTGCTACGCCAGGACGACATATTAGCAACCTATTGCTACTACTAATGATAATAATGTAGGATCTGCGTTCGCGCCCTCTTCGATGAAGGTTTTTGCATATTTGTGTTGCAAAAGCTGAAAAGTGAATCTTATGAAAGAAGGAAATTAAAAGATTACTAAATGCGCCATAGCTGTTCCATAAAGTTTATTTTGTAATAAATGGTTTCAATAAGAAATATATATTTCAAATATAAAAATATATTTGCTAATTACAGAAACGTCTCTTATGTATTTATTTTCAAATAAATCTAACAAATTATGTCATTAGAAAGTAACAGATTGTGCAGCTTAGAATTTTACTATTCTTTTCTACGTTTTACTGTTTTATCATTTACAAACTCGAATAACCTTCCATTGCTTGCGTAGAATAAAATAGGAATATTTGACGTAAAAAGTTGCTATAACAAGCTTTGATTAGATAACATGAGTACTCAAAGATTAAAAATAAAAGTACTTAATTTGAATATACATATACATATTTTATCGTATGAACAGATAGTAACCAAACGGTACGCTGTGAAGAATATCGATAATGAATACGGTTGCAGATTTGTACCCCGTTTAGACACAGTTTAATGCGGCCTAACTGGTTAAGGCGCCATCCATGTAAGACCTGTACTTAATATAAGAAAGATGACTGTTGTCATAAGTCACTTCTTTATTAAAAAAATAACAAAAACTTTTTTATAAAAATATTTACTAAAAACAACAAAATGAAGAAAAAGAATAGTTAAAATAATAGCAAAAATAATTAATCTCAAAATTCAAATAAATGATTTTGCTTTATTTTAAAGTAGTAAGCAAAGAAATGTGAATCGATATTCTTGTTCCTTTTTCACGTTTTAGTGCTAAAGCTAACCCAGTCGTATTATATTTTATATAATTAAAGTTGTACTTACTGAAAACTTGAGCAAAACGTATTAAGTATATTTTTGTGCTTTCAAACGAAAACGGTGACTGAAATTAGAGTAAATGTGAATATCGGAAGGCACTGCACAGCAGAAAAACGACATAAATCATCAATTGTTACATTAAATCAATAGACATGAAATACGATTTTTCCTTCTGTAAATATTTACCAACGCTCTAAAATCATAAATGAAAAATCAAAACCAGATTGGTAAGGAGACATGATTATATTTTATTATTTCAGCATTGAAAGATGAAAAATATGGTATTTTTCTTTTGAATGGTAAAGGATTGCAAGAAGATTCCCAGAAATTTGTGGCCAAAGGAACTCGTTTCCATTACGTAAAGAGAAGCACATCAGAGACTTTGGAAACAGTTGGCCCATTAAACGCATTTTTGGTTGTCATGGTAAATGTCACAAAACATATTTTGTTTATTTTATATACTTATTTAATTTAGATCCGTGATTTTGAATTTAATTCATGTGTTTCTATTCTCTTTAATTTTAAGAATAAATGTAAAACAAACAGCAGTAGCACTACTTGAAGTTATAGTATTAAAATTAGCCATTCTAAAATGTAATAATATAAAACTGTTAACTTCTTTTTAAATAAATAGAATTAGTAAATATAAGAATAAAATATAATTACTTCTTGAATTTCTGGCTAGCGACTAATAGGATAAAAATAGGGGTAAAATAAAATTAAAACATTTTCCATTTTATAAGTAGAGAATATTAAAGAACATAAAAGATAATAAAACTAAATAAGTAGGCGTCTAGAAATGGAGCGAATTGTAGTAAATTTGGTCCTCATTGTGTAACTAACATAAACCCGTGATCTTGTGCGGTCTTAAGCACGACAAAGTAAGTATTAAAAATAAAAATATGTAAAACTTTTTCAGAAAGCTAAATATTCACAAAAGCTTACAAAATTTGATGATTTTGAGAAAATGTACGTTTTTTTGATGACTTTAAAATTTCGAGAGCAAATTAGTTGCAAACTAATGAAGAATAAAAATATTCTTACCTGAAGTAAAAATTGTTTGCATAAGAATAATAAATTTATATCTTCGTTTTAATTTATTTAAATATTTATAATGAATATAATTTAAAAAATATTCTCAATTCATTCTGCGGTAATTCTGTTAAGAAATTAATACGTAAAAATTGTTTTTCACTTTATGAAAAATCTTAGGCGTTTTTATTTTATATTTTACAATTAACTCTAGCTATACACCAATGACCACAATAATGAGTCCAAGATAAGTTATTACTATACTTCTGTCAAAAGCGACTACACATTCGAACGAAATAATTACAAGTGGCAGTTTGATAAATGGAGTGATTGCAGCGTTACTTGTGGTTCAGGTAAGTTACACAAAATTGCATAACTGTCATTGGAATAGATTACTATTTAACTGGAAAGACATCGTTCCCTTTATAATCTGACGATTGGATAGGCCAATTCTAATCCACGTATATTAACAAGTATATTTCTTATTTATGGCATACTTCGGGTCTGCGAATTGGAAGGACAACAAAAAATATTTAACTAATAACAAAAAAAATAATTACACACGATCGGAAATTCACTAATATTTCTTGAATTCTAGTGATTATTTCTCAGTAGATAGAAGAAATTTTACTCACAATCCATTATTTTTGCTGTGCAGTGCCTTCCAATATTCACTAAACTAATCTGTATTTTTGATATACCAACTCTTTAATCGTTCACCAGAAGCCGAACTCTTTACTCGGTGTTTTTTCTTACAAGAGAAGTAAGATTCAAGTTGCTTCAGATAAGTTCCCTGACGGCAACCAATGTTTCCCATTGGCGGCAGCTGATTCCACAGGAGGTGAAGTGAGGAGTTTTTCTAACGTTTCTTTAGAAAACGATATAGAAGCAATCAGCATTCGTGGAGGCATAGATGGCACTGACACATAACCCAGGTTTCGGTTCCATAAAAGTTGATGATGCTTTAGAGTGATGCTTTTTAGTTAACAGAGTAAGCGTTTTTGCTCAGGCTTCAATTGTAAAATAGGACGTCATTTGAGTGAGTAACTGGAATCGCATAATTCACAGAAACTATCTGTTCAGCGCAATATTAGTGGCGGTTTTGAGTTACTTTAGATTGAATAGATTCCAATTTATATCTGTGCGGATGTACACGTTATCATTTATATCCTCTGGAAACTCTTTAAACATCATGGTAAAAAATATTGAAAACAATACAGAAGCCATTACACAACCTGTCTGTCTGACTGACTGTCTATCTCTCTCTCATATATATATATATATATATATATATATATATATATTGTATATGTATGTAGAGAGAGGTGAATTTCGTTCATAAAATTGTCTCTTCATATATATCATGTGAACAAAGTAACTGTTCCATAAATAACACACGTTCTTATATAGTTTGGGACAGATTTCAATCAGTGACTGTCGGTTCTTTTACAACCTAAAACTTTATTCAAGCAACAAAATAAGTTGCAAATAACCTATATGTTGCAGGATATTTATAGATCCAAACCATTAGTATTTTTTCCTAACTATCATTTGTTAAATTACTGCCGCGTATACTAATGCTCATTATAGGACAGAAAATATAGCAATTATTTTATAAGTTTTCTTCTGAGTTTATGTGTATCTTACTTTTCTTATTTTATTCACATATCTATTGCATAGGTAAACAAAGCACGACTTACAACTGTGTTGACATCAAAACGAATGAAATTCTCGATAAGACTTTCTGTCTTCATCTCGACGAACCTCGTATAGACACAGTGAACTGCAAGCGGGAGCAGTGCTTGGTGACGAGGTAAGGCAAATCAATGTAACAAACACGCATACATACTATTGACTAGTTTAATATCCACGTATAAAAGAAAAGATTCTTTCCTTATGTCATTGTCACCATCCCCTCCAAAAAAGGGTTTTGTTACTAGTTAAACCAGCGATGCACAGTTTAATATTCATCGATCAATATTCAATTTTATTTGTTTTAATTTCAAAATGAAATGGTCCTATAGAATCTATATTTGAAGGCATTATTCAAATCGGAGTTCGGTATGACACCATTATTTGCTACAGTTTCATCTAAAATGTCAAAATTATATTTTTAAAAACCAAATTCTTTGCTTTATCTGAGGAAAGGTTTGAATAATAATTCCAATTACAGAATAAAATGTTCTACATAAAGCAAAATAATACGAAACGAAATAAAATAATGGTCTTGAATTCCTACGTAAAAATATTCTTTTCGGCGCGTAATACTATCGCTAATATATTCACGCACACACATACACACACACACACACACACACACACACACACACACACACACACACACACATATATATTAAACAGAGAGAGAAAAAGAGAGATGCTTTTCTTAAATTACAGTGAATTGAAGTTTACTTTATAAATGGTAGAATCTTTAATTAAAAGTTATTTTATCGTAGTTGTATTAAGAAACGACAAATTCTGATAATGTCACATGCAATATTGGTTTGTTTTATTATATTTTTATATGAGTCCTTATAGAGTTATGTAAAAATAATAAAAGTTATGCTGAAGGCATTAAAATATTAAACAATATAAAAATGTCAATATTAGTGACTAGTTTTTATCTCACAAATCGCGTAACGTATTAGGGACGTAGCAGCACGACATGTACTTCAGTCGTAGCAGCAGCACTGTGTCTTGGGAAAGACAACATGACAGAGACCAACCTTCACCAAGCTAGTTTAAATTCAAAGGTGTCCTTATCCTAGGGTGGTTGCCAACCAAGGCTATCTTGCTATTCACCCATTGTTTTGAGGAGAATATATGAATTCATACATTTCCAAAGGATATTTCATGTAAGTGAAAGTAAATTCGAACTTGGCTCTCCGATTTTTCATTCCAAGTTGCTATCAGTTACATCACCGCGCATCCTTGTGGATGCGCGGTGATGTAACTGATAGCAACTGTGGATTTTTTATATATAGGGTTCTAGCACAATGGATCACAACATTGACATTGCATGGGGTAAATGGGTTATCAGCTTTGTTTTAACATTATTCACATTCAAATTAAGATAATTCCTTAAAAACTAACTCTTACAGGTGGAAAGTAGATGGCTGGTCAACTTGTTCTTCAAAGTGCGGTTATGATGGTGAAGAGGTACCAATTATATATTGCGTCTCTGATTCCCGAGGTAAGAAAGAAGAAGTTCTCTCTGACGCTTACTGTGATATGCTGCTCCGTCCCAACAGTACTAGACCTTGTAACAGACAGCCTTGTGCAGGAGAATGGAGCGTAGAAGACTGGTCACAGGTAAGTGATATTTGTAACCAGAGAATCCAAGGAAAATCAGTTTTTTCATCCTGCATTCTAATGCTCTGGAACTTTAATTTAGCAATTCGAATATTCTAAAACACTGGATACAAATAATAATAATAATAATAATAAAAAAAACTTCAACTATTTTAGTAGATATAATGAATATTTTGATTATATCGTACCTCAATCGTACACGATATAACAAAGGTGCGTTAAGTTGCAAAATTACTGAAATTACTTAGTTAATTATCCGATAAATTAATTTATTAGTGGAATTGTAACTGGAATATACAGTTCGTTTGAAGTTACGCAAATCGCATAAACTTCAATAACTCGAATTTGCTTTGAACAATTCTTGTCAAATTTTAAACAATTAATTTAGACGTCAAAACAAAGCTTGGGTTAAATGTTTAGATAGTATCAACAAGTTTTATTAAAGGTATTGGATTTATCATAAAAACTACTGCAGATTAAACTAATATTAAGACCTTTGAAATCTAATAAAGGCCTTTTCTATAATATATGTTGAAATATGGGCAATAGAAATGATCTAACAAATACTGAAAAATAATAAAATAATAAAATAATAAAAAAGTTATTGAGTGATGTCCACATTTAAGATATCAAATATTCGCAGAGATCATCGAAAGATAAAGGAAGCTAAAAACATGCAATGATAACAGCAAAAATTGCAATATGAGCACTGGTAAAAATGGTTGCTGAAACAGAAATTCATACACAGATGTCCTCAAGGACACATGGCACAGCGGATAAAGGCGTTGGTTAGATCCAGTGACAGAACCCAAAGAGTGTGAGTTCAATACCCGGCTAAGGCAGTGGAGAAAATTAACAGGAGATAACTGATAACTGACATCCATTAAACATGGCACATGGAACTAGAACAGTCTACCCCAGTGAGCGAAATTATGGGTTCAGTTCGACATTCCAACCACCTGAAGAAGGCCGGAGCGTACAACGGCCAAAACGTTGTAATAAATATGGCGACAAAGATGAGGACAATAGTCCGAATAATGTAAATAATGTATAAAGGAATCTGTTGAAAATAGAAGCAAAGGAAACAACTTTAATAACTTGTCTCCTCGAGAACGTAAACTAAATCACGTTATAGTGAGACAATCATTATTTACCAGTGCTCAGATGTTTTACTAGTCTGTAATTGAGGGAGTCAAGAAGGACAAAAGGTATAGCAAACTCCTCAAAATATTTTTAAGGATTCAAACTCAAATATTTTTAAGTGATAAAATTAGGCCAAGAAATACATAAAAAATTATCCAATGCAGATGTGTTTGTGGCTAAAAGAAGACAGCAAGGATGCAATACGTTGATATGGGCTGAAATTGTTGACCAAACCATTATTGACCTATTCAAAGTCAATGAAGGAGTTAAACTAGACAGTGCTAACTACTGTAATTTCATGGACAAGACTTTCTTTCAATGATATAAGTATCAGCTTTGAAGTTTCAAAGGGAGCTATGAATTTATGCACAGAAATCTCTTTCTCATGCATCTAAGGGTACCTGTGAATGTTTTGAGCGTAAAGGGTTTATAGGAAAGAAGATAATGAAATAGCCACCAGATACTGATCTAAATCCGATTGAAAATCTATGGCCAGTTGTGAAGATGAAATTACATTATTGAATGAAAATATGATTTTCTGGTTTTGCATAACTCCAGACTTGTTTTTCTAATAAATCCAAGAACTTTAATAAAACATGTTGAAACTATCTAAACATTTAACGCAAGGTTTTCGACGCCGAAAGTAATCATTTAAAATTTGAAAAAAATTGTTCAAAGAAAATTCAAATTATTACAAAATTTCAGGCGGGCTGTATTTGTGTTTAATCATACTGCACTTTATCTAATTTAAAAAAGCACTTAGAAGTTAATTAAAATTACCATTTAACAAATCATAGCAGCAAAAAAGAATTATTCTTACAGGTCATGTGGCGAAATCAGGTCGTCAAATCGCTAATGAAAATTCTGTTTTAATTTATACACCTCTTACGATCTCTTGTTTTTTTACGTTTTTTTTTTTAACTAAGTTGCGTTTAATCAATATAAATTTCATCAGATTTAATACAAAGAATTTTATATATTGTTGGGGCAGTATACCCAGATTACAATACAAAATTTTAAACAACGCGAAGAAATCTTCGCAGAAAAGGAAGACCAAGCTAAATATGACAATAACATTTATACAGTAGATAAATATATTTACTTGCTGAAAATGAATGTTCTTTGTTGTGGCCATGAAGAGACCAAGAGTTCGATGTGATTTGTTGCGAGTGAATCTGAAAAAATTCGAAGTTATTTTGCTGCAAGTGAATTTGCAAAGTTCAATATGTGTGTGACTGCTTGTTGATTGCGTGCGTTAGCAGTAATTTTAAAACACAGTGAACAAGACTTACTTCGCCATGGCTTTGTATGTAGAAAACTCATCGCTGACTGATGCGTTGTCATGGTAACGTGTGTTGAGGCTGGGATGGTTCACTGACTGTTCCGTTTCGTACATCTCTCTGCTGACTGTTCTGTTTCAGATCTAGCCATGTCTGTAGCTGACAAGCCATTTTTTATCGCTTTTGGGTGGGCTCTGAATCTCTATCTCAGTTTTGCGCGGAATGTTCTTATTGATCCATTTCCAGGTCATTTGCAGTTCAACAGAGCGGACATCGTAGAGAGGACTTGCCCCATCCAATCAGGTTGCGGAAACCACTTATTTTTTATTTTGGAGCTGTGTTTGTACAGAATTGTTAAAGTTCTTTGTATTTATTGAATTTAGTGAAATTTATTTGAAGGTGTCTCTTAATTTTTTATGCTTCATTTATTGGCCGTAAAATATGGGAGTTTATATTCTATAATATGCAAGAATTTGAATTATATTTATTATTCTTTTTATTGATTCATCATTTTTTATTATACATGATGTGGTTGGGGTTATTTTAATTCCACCATCTTTGAGTTTATGAGCAATTATTTGAGTACATATGGAGAAAGATAGTGATTTGGCATATAATTTTTTAAGGGAATCTTTTTCACGTTTACTATTGACGTGTATCTTTACAGCTTTCCTTTTAGTGGTTAGTATGATGTAAGTATGATATCATATTGATTTGAATATGTTTTCAATGCATTTGATTTCTTAGTATAGATTCTAAATGATATGAGAAAAAATCTATTATTATACCGGTTTATGTTTATTGTTACGATGCAAGTAATAATCTATGTATAATAAATATAATTCAAATGCTGGTATACATAAAATCCTATGTAGTAAATGTCGATTTATATTGTTGAAACACAACGAATTTTTTTTTAAAAACGTATCTATAAAATTAAAAGTGTTATAATATCGGGATGCATTAAAATCTTAATTCACCCATACACAATATACAAACCATTATTTCGTTTTTCAAAACGTCAAAAAAATAAAATTTATGAAATTTTCCCCAAAACCGATGTTGAAATTTAATTAACAAGGTTATACAATAATTACGATTAAATATTGTTTTCGATATCACTTTCACCTTAAAGTAACTTTATTTTTTCTGCTCCACTTTTTCAGTTGTTTTAAGAGTACCCGTACAGAATAAAAAGCAAAATGAGAATATTCATAAAAAATGTTTTAAAAAATCAAACTGGCTTTCATGAATTTCGTCTTCCATGAAATTCATGAGAGCCATCCAATAACACGTACACAAAACATATATAATGTACTGCATAAATTTTAAAATAATATTTTCCACCAGAAGGTTTTAATGTATAATAGATGCGGAAAACAAAAGCTGTAATTAATTTTGTGTATTCCATGTTTATTCGCAATTAAAATTTGGATGTCTATGAGTATGTTTCCCCTTACTTATGTTCTGAAATAAAATTTAATTGGGAACTTTAAACTCTAGTTCATTGAATAAATATCATTGAAGCGTGATTTTCTTGATCAGTCAATTCATATTTATCTTTCTATTGACAGTGTTCTGTATCTTGCGGAGAGGGGATTCAAGTACGTACAGTCACCTGCGTTAAGCCATCAGGATCGTCAACTGACTTCAAATGTAAAAAACGTAGACCTCTTTCGACACAGAAATGCACCAAAGACACATGTGAAGGTAAGTGTGGATCAACACAGTGCCAAGGTTAGAATTATAAATGTTGAAACAGCTTTATGAAACAGTCTTAATTTTTATTTGTAGTAGAAATGGTGGACGGCTAAATAGTGCGTTTGCATCTTTAAGTATATGCGTATGTTAATGAATGTCTGCATATATAACTTTGCTTGATTCAGTTAACTTGTCCACACGTGAGATATTTGCTAGTCAAAGACAAGGTGAAATGAGTCGAAATACTAATTGTGTGGCACAAATCTTTGTAAATCAAACATCTTTCATGTCAAAATTATTTTTTGTAAATCAAAAATTTATATGTTAGCCCCTTTACATGATCTTGAATATTTATCAATCACTGGTGACAGTAAAAAATATCAGTTATCTCGGCCACAGCTTTTGTTTATTTCTTGACCAGTTAGACGTTCAACACGATTGAATTATGTATCAGGATTAAAACTAAAATATAGAGAATATCAATTTTAAATATATATTTATAATGTACGTGCCTCTTTTTTATTACTGTTATGAAGTAGAGTACACCATGGAATAAACGTTGTCAGGTCAACAGATGGTAGCTTGACTGGCATTTGCTCTGGTGTACTGCTTTCATAGTAGTACCTCATTTACATACAATGCAACACCTCACTGAACTGAAATGACCTCATGCCTTTCGGTGATCTTTGACTTTTAATTATTCTTGGGAATCTAAACTTTCTTTGTTTTGTTTTTCTCCCTAGATCCTAGTTCATTTTCCTCTTCCGATTCCTTGTCAGATTTCTGGTCATTAACATCCATAGATAGTTCAGTTTAATTACTGGATTTATTAGTCGCCTCCTCCTCCCCTTCATGTTCTTCACCTTCAGATTCTTTGTCCATTTCTATATCGTCAGGTTCCATTCTGCTTCTGAATTGGTCCACATGGGCCAGTACATTTTTATTCATTTTTCATTAGTATTGCTGTGTTGTGTCCTTTTTGTACTACAAAGTTTTCCTTCCCTGGATTAGATTCTTTGTCTTTTTATACCATACACTTCACTTGTTGAAAATGATATTATTATGGGAGCTACCATTAATATACCCATTAATGCGGAGGGACTTTGTAGTCTACCGGCATGTGAAATTGTCCAATAGCTTAACAGCAATCTTGGTAAAAAGTGGTCTAAACTGTTCTACCGAGGCTGTGAGTGTTCGCAGCTCCTGTCGAACTTTCTGCCTTGGGCCGAGAGGAACCCGAACGGTAGACAGACCCGAACCCATTTATGCGGGTTCTTTTTGGTCGAGCCTACGGGCTCGGATGACCCACGTTAAGCCTTGTGCCACATATATCCCTTGTGGGGCGCTGTTAAATATTAACAGCAATCTTGGTAAGTAACTCTCGATATTATCATTACATGGGGAAATGCTTTTAGTCCCATTTTCACATTCTGCGCCATTCTTTCTGTGATTCCATTCGATTGTGGGTGGTAAGGTGGTGTTTTTACGGGACGCATTCAATACGCTTTAGCCACGAGCATAAACTTTCCTCGAAAATTCTGATGCATTATCTGAGACCAAAGTTTTAGGCACTCCATTCCTTGAAAATATTGTTCTTAATATTTGTTTTATAGTGATGGCATTTCTGTCAGCAACCTTAATTACTTAATATATATTAGTATATTTTGGCCACCTTTTTAAATAGCCTTCTGCATCTCGAGAATGTCCTTGTAATTTTAATCTCATTTGTGTTGCTGATTATCGAAACCATTGGTTTTATAGCCCATCTTAAAATTCTAGAATATCTGACTTTTGGTAATTCCTTTCTGGTGTTAAAGTTTTGTGATCTGACTTTAACACAAATTTTCGTCTTTACAAAAAATTTAAGCTCTTTCTGTGCCCCATAACGCCTTTTCTCAATATTTTAGTAGTTAGCTTCAGGTGACGTTAATTTTCTCGACGGGTATATAATTGGATGACCTTCTTGAGATAAAATTGACGCTACAACGTGTTCACTTGCATCCGTAGTCAACGTCATTTCTTTTTTTGAATTAAAGATTTTTGCAATCGGTTTCCTTAGTGTGTTTTTTAAGCTTTCGAAAGCTATATTTTGCCTTTGAGTCCATTTGAATTCTGTATTTTTTACGTAATTCTACAAATGGTTCTATTAGGTCGTTGTATCTAGGTAAATATTTGCTACAAAAATTGGTCAGCCCAAAAAAGGATTCTAATTCTTTTTTTTTATTTTTTGATGTAGTTACTTCCGATATTTCACTTATTAGTAAAATATTGTTTGGCGAAATTTCTTGAAGTCTTAAATCCAAATGGAAGACGAATCCGTCTCAGTAAGTCTATCGGGGTTTGAAATGTTTTTTCGTCAATTTCTACTTGGTTATATGACGATTTGGTGAAGTATTTATCCTGCTAATTTATGACTTGCCGTTTCTATGTTAAGTAATCGAAATGAATCAGAATGTATCTGATGATTTACACCTACTTTGTAATCCCCGCATATCCTCAAATCGCAACTGGGCTTTCGTTTCGTAACAATTGGTGAAGCCCAACTGTTACAATCTTAGCTAACTTTCTCCAATATGCTTTGTTTTACCAATTTCCTTAGTTTTGCAACTACCATGGGTAGAATGTGAATAGGTTTTTTTTTTTCGAGATTCAAAATGGATCGGGTTACTATTTTCTTTTAAACGAATACTCTCTTTATATAGTTTCGAAAGTCCTATGTTAGGTTCTTCTGACTTATATAGTCTGTTAATTTCGATGTATCCACTTTTAAAACGTCTATTCTCAGAAGTCCATGATTTTTTGTGCATTCTACAACGGTGATGGGAATAATAGCAAAATTGTGTTTTGTCTCGAAAGTTTCTTCAAAGGAACATTTTGATGACAAATCCATCAAATTGTTTTAAATTAATATTACGTTTTCTTAATTTAGGTTTACCCATTTTTCCAGAAATTCCTTGGGATCAAGGTAACATCGCTCCACTTGTCAATTTGCATGGGAAAAGTTATGCCATTCAATTTTACTGTCTCTCTACTTTTTACAGGTGTTCTTATCGAATATACTTCCGTATTTTTAGTATGAGAGTTTATACTTTCTAGTATAGTTTTTTCTTTTACAGTTTAAACATAATTTTCATAGAGCTTGACATTTTTTATGTTTCTTTCGTGTTCTTTTTCACAATATTTGTCCTTAGTTAGGATTTTAGTTGTGTTATATGCTTCCACATTGTTTTTAGAATTATTAAATTCATTAATTCATTCATATATGACTTCAATTCGTCTTCTATAGACATTTCTCTGTAACCCAGTTTTTCAAATTCACAATATCTTGATGCTTCTTTCAATCTGTGTAAATATTGCATTACGGTTTCATTTAGGTTCTGTCTATTTTCCAGAAATGTTGTTCTTTCTCTAATAACCAGCTTCTTTTTGTCACATGTTTCCTTTTATAATGATTGAAATTTCCTATGTTAATTCTTCCAGTATTTTGTGTTACACCATAATGGATATTTTCTTTATGGCTTATCCGAGGAAAAACTTTTTCAAATCTCATCAAAAACTTTAGAAAATGATTGCAGCAAGTTATAAAGATGAAATATTGGAATATTGTAAAAATTGTTGAATTTTTTCATACAGTACGAATAATTTTGTCTTTTCCTACTTTGCATAATACGCCTGTCAAATTTGTTGCATTTAACCTATTGTTCTGAAAATTGAATTTTTTATTCCTTCTTTGTTTGTATTAACATATAAAATGCTGGCATCATACAGGCATTAGATTCTGAGAAATGGATAAAAATAATCAAAATTGATGGGTGTACGAATAATTTCCTTGTTGAACATCACGACTCTAAAGTTACGTAGACGGACCTTCCATCATTCACTCCGTCCACTCATCAAGCAGAATACTTTTCTTGATTAAGGTATTATCCTACTCAAATCGTTTAATTGACATTAATGACGAAAATATGGAATAATCCCATGTACGTAAGCTGGGAAAATCTTAAAAACTGTGAGAAGAATTTAAGAAACCTATCAAGTTTTTATCACCAATTTGATTTCAACATAATGGGAGGAATCCAGAAATATGTGAAAGTTTTCAAAAATTGAGTAGAAGTTGCATTTTGATGAATCTGGCAACTGAGAACTAAAAACGTCTTTTGATATCATGAGGTATTGTTGAAGTTTTCTGAGTTAGTGGTACTAATGTTTAAATACTCAAACAATTACTAACTTCAGATTCATCATCTAATAAAAAATTATTGAAAGTGATATTCATTGACCTTTCAAAAAGAAAAAAAGTATACTTTTTGGGGTCAGGAAGAGATCTTTCATCATCCCTCGTATTTATTTTGCTTCCGCTTAAGTTGATCGGTTTAAATAAATATTTGAAGTTTCTGATCTGCTTAATTTTTTTTTTCCAGCCAAAGTTGCTGAATGTACAAAAGACAACACGCCATTCTGTAAATATGGTTCATCAGCTCGCACTTGTTCTTACAGTGGATACAGGTCCCTGTGTTGCAAGTCCTGCCAGAGCTTTTCGAACAAGAGCGACAAGTAAAAAACAAACAATGGAAAAAAGAATAAAACTATAATGTAAACGAAATAAAAAAACAAAAAAAAAAAAAAAACGAAATAGCAAAAAAAAAATGACAAAACTGGTTTTCACCATTTGAAGGATATAGGAGATTGTGGTAGAGGACATTAAAACGATTTACATTAGCTATTACTTAAAGAATAAAGACTCGTATATATATATATATATATATATATATATATATATATATATATATATATATAATACATGACACATTTTGGAAAATTTATATTTTTCACATGTTTCGTTGATGAACCAGCATCATCGGAAAAATATTTCAGCAGAATCAACTCGCTAGACAAAAAAACAGGATTCCTGTATGTATGATACTTAACAGCGTCATTATAGCACATTTTTTATTATTTTATGGTTTACATACACCATACTGTTTCATTATTCATTTAGTAAGAACAAGTGATAAAATTAAATTACAGGATCGTATATTAATCGTTAGGGGGATTTGTTAAATTAAATGTATTTATTATTAAATTAAATTTACTTATTATTAAATTACATTTATTTATTATTAAATTAAATTTATTCTATTAAAATGGCATTTTCTAGGTAAAAATTATTCTCATAAAAGTTCCGGTGCGTTGAGTGTGTTGTTAAATTTTAAGTCTCTTATATTCCTAAGAAAAGAATACATAAAAATTATATAGACTTATAATTTAACAACGCCGAAACATTCGTGTTCTCGATGTTGACCGGGGAATGCCGTTTGAATAAAAATAATTTACTTAGCAACCAGTTCATCGATGAAACATGTCATAAGCAAAATTATAATATATATGCCTGCATATAGTTAATATATATGTTTGTATATCAGATCGAATGAATGTGTAAAAGCGTACTTGTATTAAATACAAATGTGTACACTACAAAAATAACTATATATGTATGTATGCGTTTCATAGCATATAAAATACCTATTTCGTTAACCAACACATGCACACAAATTTGCATATAAGGATAACAAAACGTACATTTATACATGCAGTTGGAAATCCGAATTGTAGATATCCCACTTCACCAGGAACAGCACCATGGTCGCGTGCGCGCATGCACACACACACACACACACACACACACACACACACACACACACACACACACACACACACACACACACACACAGTGGGAGAGAAAGAAACATACATTATTTGAAAATAAGAGCGAGTTTTTGAATATACAGCAGAAAAGAAACCATCAAATTCCTCAATATGAAACTATAACAGAAAATATCTTTTTCTTTTTTGAAATTTAGCCAATCTAAGCATCCACTAAACAGGAACCCCTTCTAAGCATCCACTAAACAGGAACCCCTTATCCGTAAGACCTCTTTGCGTTACCAGATTGGGACTCAGTCCGGAATTTTCTCCGTGACACCCCTTGAACTGACATCTCCAACCTCCCAACTGAAGTGTCTTCTTGGGTCAAAGCTGGCATGGACGCCTTTATCCATTCTCATAAATACCAGGTGAAACCGCAATCCTCTCCATGGTTCACACAAGTTTACTTGACCTCCATAGCACAAGGAGCCACTATTTTCAGCTATACCAGCGGGACTTCTCTCGTCATAACAGGGGTCTATTTGCTACTGCTCGTGGCAAATGCAAGCGAGTCCTCAAAGAAGCTTGCGAGCAAGCGAGTCCTCAAAGAAGACTGTTTGCTGAGAGAATGAGGCACCGCATAGCCATGCGGTGCCTCATTCTCTCAGCAAACCTTGGCTCTCGTAACTACTGGCGTCTCTATAACAGGGTACTAAATAAGTGCAAAGTCTCTATTCCTTCCTCTTCAATCAATTTGGAGTGTTATCATCTGCTGATAAAGCTGAATGCTCCGCCTGTAAATTCTCCTCAAACTCTGCTCTTAAACTCATCTGAAGTATCCCTGCCTGATTTCCCGCTTAGAACTGATTCTTTGTTGATATGAATAGAACACATTCCATGGTTTCTGCTATCATCTCTAACCTTGATTCTTAACAAAGCATGTGGACCCAATAGCATCCCCGTGATAGTCATTAAAAAGTGTGCTCTCGAACTAGCCCCTGTTCTCTCTAAACTGTATAATAAATACCTCGCTTTCCTGCACGCTGGAAGTCCTCGTCTGTTCTTCAAGTTTTTATGAAATCTGGTGAACCGTTTGACCCATCCAACCTTCTGTCACTTTTTGGGAAACTCCTAGAGGCCCTAATCAATACTGAATTGGTTCATCATCTCTCATCTGCCTTTTCTCAGACAAGCAATACGGCTTTCGTTACGGCTTTAGATAAAAACGGGGAACCCCGGACTGAAACATTTGACATCTCGAAAGCCTTTGACAGGATCTGGCATTCAGCTCTTCACAAGCTGAAAAGCTATGGTATCTCTGGGTACGTTCTTGTGCCGATCCAGTCGTTCCTTTCAAATCGTGAAATGAAAGTTTTCCAGAATGGCCACTCGCCTACATCCTTTCGTAATTACGCGGGTGTCCCTCGTCGCTCTGTCTTTGGTACTACGCTATTTTTAATCTTCATTAATGACCTTCCCGATGACATCAACTCTCAACTTGGAATCTACTCTGACGACACTACCGTTTACTCCTGCCTCGATAGTAAGGTTGATTAGTCAAAGACTGTTGTTAACCGGACTAAAATGTGGATTGTCAATTTTAACGCTTCCATAAATAAACTGCTCTCTATTAATCATCTGAAAGACCCCTTTATGACTTCCATCAGCATGTCTGATGCTATCCTCCAAGAAAGTGACTCATTGCGCCTTCTTGGGCTAATGTTCTCAGCTGACATGAGGTGGAAAGACTACACTGAATCCATCGCCAGATCAGCTGCCAAGAAGGTCGGTTCACTGTGTCGGGCGAGACAATTTTTCTCTCAGGAATCTATCTTGCATATGTATTGGTCTACGCTTATAATATTTCTGTCATATATGGTCCGATGCGCCTGCTATTTTCTGAAGCTCCTCGGTAAGGTCCAAAGAAGAATAAGGAATATTATTGGGCTTGATCTCGCGGCTCAGCTATAGGCAATTGCCCACCTCTGTATGGTTGCTCCTCTGTGCCTTTTTTTTATAAATACTTTCATGGTAATTGTTCGGATGAGCTCTTCGCTATGGTACCTAGACTGTATGAATTTAAGCGCAATACTAGACTGGCGGCGAAATCACATCAATTTACAGTTGAGTAAGCTAGATGTAGCCGTAACTTCTATGTTAACAGTTTCTTCTCGATTGTGGAATTCCCTCCTGGCTCTATGATTTCCAACCAACTTTAACCTGCAAAAATTTAAATGCAATGTCAATCGCTGTCTAACTGCCCCCCACCATAATTGCTTTTTTCTCTTTCTCTTCATTAAGAATGTTTCTGTTCCTAGTTCCTCCACATCCCTTGCGGACTAGTGGCTGTACTGCCTTGCATGGGGTGATACCGATTAAAAAAGAAAGAACCAAATAAAGATATAATAATTTGACATAATATGCAAATAGGGAGAGAAAATGAGAAATAATATTTTGGCAATAGATTAGTATAGATTGTTACGTTCTTGATAATGAGCTCTTGTACTATATGCACGTAGGTTAACAAACAAATAAACACGTGCGTATATATATATATATATATATATATATATATATATATATATATATATATATATATATATATTAATATAAACTACTGTTCCCAACTTTGTTGTTATTACCATACCGTTTTTTGCCATTTCATCAGGTGACTGCCAATCCGCTTAATCCTCAATGAATTTCTAACGGAACTATATATTTAATCTACGGGAGTAGATTGTTCCCGTTTAGCACCATGTCCATGGATATCTTGTCTATTTCTTATTTAGTACTGATTTTTTTAATTATTCGCCTCGTTTCCACCGCCCAAGAATTCAACTAACAATTATGTCACCAAATTCAAGAACCAACGCTTTAATCCACTCGCTAACTGAGCAGCTCTAGATAAAAACTAGAGGAGATATCTCTAGACATGACCAACAGAACGAGAACAATTTGGCTATGTAAATTAAATAAAGATATCAGTTCAAAATCCCCTGAAGTTTACTGGGATCGACAAGCACCTGATGAAGACCGGAGGGTGCAACGGCCAAAATATTGTGATAATAACAAATATGAAATAGCCGTTATGTTAATAATAAGTCCCCATACCAGAAATTTTGACAGAGAGTTGACAATAACTTACCGAGAGAGAGAGAGAGAGAGATGTTTGTTCCTAAAGGCGGAGCACTTCGAAAACAACTTATCAGTACATATTCAGACTTAAATAAATTCTGAACTAACAATCATTTGATAAAAAACATGTTCTCAAGTTATCTTTTTATTTTCATTATATTATATAATATTATTTGAAAAAGTGAAATTAGGCAGAATTCATCTCTGTATTAGAATATTAAATTGTAATTGAAAGCTCAAAACATTGTAAAGGATTCAATTTTGTTCTTTAGCATAAAAAATATCTTGAAAGAGTTGTTGCGGAATTAAAATTTTAAAAAATTCTGATAGAACAGATGAAACAAATTCAACTACGGCAATTTTCATTTTCACTTGGGAAGTCAGTCAATCCTTTTTCATTATTGATCCTGCAAACAATGTATTTGCATGTAAACATTGAATTTGCAATAAATTCCTTATTCTACTAAGAATGGCAAAATTGCTTTCGTTGGAATATACTTTAGCGAGAAATTCTTAGCATAAGTTTATAAGTATTAAAATTTTTCTCGATGAATTACAATTTATCGAGAAAAATTTTAATTTTATCAGAAAATAATAAACTTGTAATTTTATTATTTTCTGATTTAAAATGATAAAATAAATAGCACTACTTTTATTAATGTATATATTGAAATATTTGAACTCAGATACTTTATTCGCTACAATACATACAGTAATGTTAAGAAAGAGATTAGCCATATTTTGAATGTCCTCAAAACTGGTATTGTACTTCAAGTA